TCAAAATGCGAGGATCAAACTTTTGATTAATATCTTTACATATGTTGTCTATATACAATATCTATAAAACTTTATAAGTATTTGAATTTGTATTTAAAAAAATCTAAAAAAAAAATTAAAACAGTAGTCGCTAACGGTAGGACTTGAAACACGGCAGCTATGTTCCGAAGCCCAGCGCGCTAACCACTCGACTACGCTGACGCATTAAGAAATAAAGATTCAAAATTATATAAAAATTGTTTTTAACGGATATAAATGCAAAAGATTAGAAATCAGTATTATGCTAATATTAAATAGTTTAACTTTTAATTATTTTTAGAAACAATAAATTTTATAAAATAATTTAGTGTACATATAAAATTAAAATCTTTAATTATGTTCTAAATAAAAATATACTTTTTAAGCCCCCTTACCATTTTTAAAAAAAGGTTATGGTCGCCGCGTGGCAAGTTCATCAGCTTGGCACGCGGTTTTGTTGTTTAAAATGCAAATCAAAAGTTATATAGATTTTATATTCTATATATAAACATGTTTTTTACTAATTTTCCTTGCTCAATATAGTTGTAAATAAACTTGAAAAGTTTAACTAAAATAACATGAGTATCTCAATAATAACACATGCGCAAAAAAAATAAAAAAGGTCGCCGATGGTAGGACTTGAACCACGGCTGACTTGGTCAGAAGCCCAGCGCACTAACCTCTCTACTACGCTGTCTTGAAGATTTCAAATTATATAAAAATTGTTTTTTAACGGATAAAAACACAAAAGATTAGAAATTAAGCAAAGGTTGACGAAATGCAGTTCTTAAGTGAAAATCAAACTGTTGAACTTGATATATGTTTAAGCATGTTTTAACATTACATAACATGAAGTTTATGTACGTACAATATGAGTTTCACGTTTGCTCGCGTTTTCTTATAAAGCAAAGGTAAGACTCTTTCTCGTCACTACCTTGGATGCAATGGTTGCCAAGAGTATCGTGTCAAACAGGCTCGAAAGCGCACTACTACTAAGTCCAGTATTATTATAAAGAGATTTAAATCCTGTGCTTTATTTATAAATGATATTATTATATTAGCCAAATCACGTCAGAGGCCTGGATCTATTTGTAGGGAAAAAAAAAATAAAAATAGTAGTTTTATTTACAACTTTTTTAGCGAATCTAAAAGTTCTGTAGTTTATAATAAAGTTTATAATAAAATACTAAAATCCAATTCATCAACAAAATAGGTGCTTTTTTAGCAATTGCTTAAATTACTGTTCGCAATGGTTTCAGGGTAAAAAAATCTGGAATTTGACCAATTATAGCTTTCGAGAAATTATTTAAATATTTGATTTCCATATGATCCCATTTTGATGTCTTATGATTGTGATAGATGGGATCTACAAGTTCTTTGATAATTTGCATTACTGTGTAACTACAACAAACTAGAAAAAAAATTTGAAGATTCTGTTTCAGGGTGGTACAACTGTAAAACGCAATATTTTGCATCAGTGCATAGGATTTGAAGATGTTAAAGGCCCATCGGTAAATTGTGCACGAGTTTTCACTTCTAGTAAAATCCTGCAAGGACCTAAACCATCAGGGCTGCATCCATACTTTTTATCAAAAGGGTGATCAAAGAATCCACATTTTTCAATTTTGCATTTACTAATTTTTTCAAAGTTTTTTATTGCAATTTCTGCATAAAAGATACCCTGTTGAATATTTTTTATATGACTCATATCAGGGGTGCTAGTACCATTTTTGACAACATCCCAAATCAATGAATATTGTACATTTCCATACATCCCTAGTAATGCTGGTAGTCGACTTGCAGTAATTTTAAACTTTCTGCACTCATGCCACTCATCGGTAACTTGCTTTACATCCATATAGTTACTACCATAAGGCTTTGGTGATTTAATTAAAGATTCATTATCTACATAATATTTTATTTGCTCTATTTTTTTGTTTTCTACCTCTATCACACTTTCATCAAACAATTGTGATTTGCAATATTTATGATCAGCTAATGCAAAAGCTGTTTTTAATGTATATTTGTAATGCAAATGTTGTCCAACAGTCTGTATCATAAATGTTGAATTAATTAAAACAGAATAAATATGTATTTCAATCGGTTTTTCCTTTTTCAATTGTTTTTTTAGTTTGTTTACAATCAAATTTAAATCTCTTTTATAATTGTTTGAATTAAGATCAGCAGGAGATATTTTTAATTTACCATACTTTTTTTTTAATTTGGCTGATTTTGGTTTTATGTTTTTAAGTGGAACCATAGGTATAGACCCTTTTGTAGACCGTTTGTGCCATTTTTGTAGTTGTTGTGTGCACGACAATTCTAAAATTTTCTCATTAGTTTCAAAATAATGTTTTAAATATAATAAAAGAGCTAGAATATGACAGCACAATCCACTAGAGCCTATCAGACAACTACAATATGCTCGTTTAGGAGTTATGTTTTCAAATAACACAACAGCAGGCCGTATATCAGTACCATACAACTTTTTAATCATTCCTTGGACATTTATTACATTATTATCCTGCAGTGATTTTACTGAAACGATTTTCCTGCTCTGTAGCATTCTTACAGCTTTTTCCTGTTGGCCAATATTTCCCTGCTTTTTATATGAACAACAACTTAAAAATGTTTTCTCGTTTACAAGGGGGTACAAGGTTTCATCAGAAGACCATTCTGATGTTACTTGAGGTATATATAACGGGTTGAGACTGCATTCAAACGTATAATTCTTTTTGCTTTGTCTCTGAATCGTTTGACTAAATTTGGATACAAAGAAAACTTTTGAATTCTTTGGCGCAACTCTTTCAATGTTTCTGATACTGACTGCCCAGTTTCTTTGAGCCACATCATACCTTGTATTTTTTTTAAAAAATAAATATTATCAGACATTTTATAACTTTAAACGTAAATAAACATTTCAGTAAAATACCATAATAAGTAGATTTCACAATTAATATAAACCCAATTACTTTTAACAATTCATTTTTCGCTTCTCAATCAATCATATTTCCAATATGACTTTTAAATTAAGCCACTGTTTTTATTTAAAAAGATTTGAAATTTATATAAACGAAACTTTCAATAAACAAAATCAGACTTAAAACGGTTTTGTTGTTATTTATAAAGCTACCATTTTTATTTTTTTTCCTACAAACCGCGTTATATGAATTTGGCTAATACCTTACTTTTTATATGTTTGATTTCCTGTGTTACTTCTATGAGGCCAGACTTACGTGACATATCTATGTCTACATTTTAAATTATATGTATCTAATTTAAAAATCAATAATTAATCAAAATATTATAAAAAATTTAAATTAATAAAAAAGTGCGACCCATGTAGGTCTCACATAGGCAGCCCACTTGGGCCCCAATTCACACCCAGCGACAATTTTCATTGGGCGGGATGTGGGCAACCCATTTGGCCCCTATAAAGCTGCCCACTTGGTCTCCATGTGGGGCCCAAAATGACTTGCTGGCTTGGGAGGTTATTAGCCTAGAAGCGGAAGAAGTTTATCGAAAGTAACTTTAAATGCGGCGAAGTAGCCTGTGACGGCATGTCTTGAAATGAGGTGTTTGGCTAATGTTGTTTACAATTTGGTTTGGTTTGTGGGTTTGATTTCCTCTAAATCTAGTAACTTTTATGAGCATTTTTAGCAAATTTCTATTCTTAATATCTTTTTCATGCTCATTTAATGTTGTTCTGCAGATACCACAAATACCGAAAAGATATTTACTCTTAACTATTTCAAAATCTGAATTTAATTGCGTTTTTATTTGTTTAGTTAAGTTTTTTGCTACAACAAACAATTTTTTTTGTACAAGTTGCACAAAATTTGTTTAGTTTTTTTATGATTTGCAGATTTGTTAAGCAATCTTCAAGAATAAAGATGATGTCAAAGATAAAGAATTTTTTTAATGCATAATTAATGCATAGTATTAAAGTTGTTAACTCTCGAATTTGTTGTCAAATTTGATCATTTTTAATTGATAAGAACTCATAAATTTACTAATTTATACACACACTTATACGGAATTTATAAGCACAAAAGTTGAAGTCATACTTCAAATCTGAAATTTGAACATTTTGCAAAGAGCGAACTTAAACTTGAAGCCATACTCGAAAACTGCCAGTGTCTAAGCTAGACTTATTTGAGAAATTAAAAATCTTTTCCGATTGCAAGAAGTGAACTTGAAATTGCAAGTTATATTTCAAATCTGAAGTAAAGTTTAATGCAAGAAAAAAACCTAAAAAGGATTCGTTCTTGAAAAATCAGATTCAAGTCGTTTTTTGAAGTTCGGTACGGACTCTTCTTGAAAGCAAACTTGAAACAAATCATCATTTTTAAAATATGTAGATAAATAAATTATCATTTTGAAAATATGTAGTGAGAATTTATATAGAATTATTTATTTTTAAAATAATTTTGGAAACATGTTTGTAAATTTACTCGTTTCACGAGTGAATTACAAATGAATCATTATATTTATGAATTACAACTTGAGTGAATTACAACTGTCAATTATACTTCGGTTTTGAGCTACTGGTTTATTTCAGGTGAGAAAGTATTTCTATTATCATTATAAATATATTATCATAACTATAATTATAAAAAATTATATATATATATATATATATATATATATATATATATATATATATATATATATATATATATATATATATATATATATATATATATATATAAGTGTAAAATAAAATAATTCATTAATTAAATATTAACATACTGCCTTTAAAAATATCCGTACGTTATAGTAAAAATAAAAAACATAATCTAAAGTAAAAAACTTATAATATAACACGTAGGTGTAAATTTATATAGCATAATTATATACATAAGAATCCCGCGTCATCCATTTCAAAATTAATCTAAATTTAGACTATTCTTATTTTTAGATTAATTATAATTAAAAATATTAAAATGCATAATTTATATTTATATATATAAAGAAAGAGATATTTGTATAGTATTTTTTTACTGCATAATATAAAACTAATTTCTAATTTTATTTAAAGTCATTTAGAGTATATATTAAACTGATATGAATTGTAATCTGCCTATTGAGTTGCATTTCTCATCAGCCCATATTGTGTAACCCACGTATGAGATAAAATTTCCAATGCGGAATACCTATTTTTCACATCTACAACAAGAACCTTAGAGATAAGATCTTTTGAAATTTCAGAAACATCGCTCCAATAGGGTGAAGGAAATTCAAACTCGCCCTTTTCAATTAGATCAAAAAGTTCTGTTTGTTTTTTACTTTCACTTCGAAAGGGAGGAAATCCACATAACATTATATAAATAATGACACCAGCGGCCCATATATCTACTTGTAAACCATAACCTTTTTCACTTAATATTTCTGGAGCTACGTAAGTGGGTGTTCCACATATTGTATATATAGGATGATCCACCTTCATAGCTAAACCAAAGTCTGCAATTTTAAGTATTTGTTTACCAGTCGGTGATATCATGACCTAAAACAAATGTATTACATTAAAATGAGATAAAAAATTATAAAGCAAAAAATAACACAGGTCAACAAAGAACTTTTATCACAGATAATTTAGAGTTGCCTGGATACAATTTTTGTAGCTGATTTTAAAACTGCAACCAGATTTTTCGTGTCACGTTTTTGTTAAAAATAAACTATGTTATTATACGACTTTTTGCTTATTTGTTAATGTTATGAGTGGCTAAAAATATCGTCTTAACCTTTTTTTCAGTAAATTCGTAAACTTAGAAGTAAACACTTAATTAACACTAACCATTTTTCTTTCAGCAAATTTCTTTGAATAATTTTTTTTACAGATAATAATCAAAATAATTTGATTAAGAACTTTTTTTAAGGAGTCATTTAATTTAAAACATAAAAAGGGCATACTATTTATTTATTTCTTTGTTATGTTTCAATTTAAATAGAACAGACCGTTATTAATTGAAAAATATTGCTATAATAAGACTGTTAAAATATAAAACAATAAAATACCGTCAGAAAAAACAAAAATATACTTTTTAATCGTTTTTATAAATTTTTTAAATAAAGACTGGCAGCTGTTAAAGGCAATTTTATTACCAAACAATAAGGAAGTTATTATGGTGCCAATTTTTTAATAATGTTATCTTTTTAGTGCACATGATAAAAACTTGTTTTCTCACTCAAAGTTTGCTACATGGCAACAAGTGCAACTGTGTGAAAGTTGAATACAAAAACTGTTTAAGTCAAGTACATGCACTGACATTAGTACTATATTGAAAGTATAATATATCAAAGACCACCTGGTTGACAAGGAAAAGATTTTAGCTGCTGTTAAGAAATGAAGCAATCCAAAATGTCAGCATTAGATAAAAGGCTTATTTGCAAATTTGGATCAAACCATTTTTATATAGCTTTGATATTTTTACTAAACCTGCTTTGATTCTAAAAACTAAAACCATTGAATTTGTTGAGAAAATGAACATTGAAAACTTTCATGCTTCAGAAAAAAAACAATATAACATATCATTCAAAACCGTTCCTGGTAAAGCAAATGCATGCAAGTGAAAATGTAGCACTATAGGAGGAAACCACATTACCACCTATTTTATCAAAATATAAGCTGATGAGGAATAGCACACTATGAGGAATGGTAAAGAAGGAAAAAAATTATCTTATTAGTTGATAATTGTTCAGCTCATTGAACCATTGATAATCTTGTATCAATACAAATGATCTTTTTACCACCAAACACCACCTCAAAGCCCCAACCAATGAATTAGGGAGTTATTAGGTAACTTAAAACCCATTATAGAAGATAGTCTGTTCAAAATTGATAGATCTAATAGATATAAAAAAATATTTTCTGGAATTCTCTATAATGGATGCTATGCAAATATATGTTATTGCTTGGAGAAAAGTGAAGACTAAAAATATTTCCATTTGTTTTTTTAAAACTGGAATTTCAGAGAAAATGTATGTTGATGGCTTTTTAGATGTAGATAATCTCTTTAAAGATCTCAAGAACCAGTTAGAAAAACAAGCAATTCATAAATCCAATTTTTTTTAAAAACAAATAACAGAGAAAAATTCTCATGGATAATTTTGTCAATATAACTGAGATAATGAATGGTGAAGAGATTATATCAGACATGTTAACTGAGATAATGAATGGTGAAGAGATTATATCAGACATGTTAACTGAGATAATGAATGGTGAAGAGATTATATCAGACATGTTAACTGAGATAATGAATGGTAAAGAGATTATATCAGAAATGTTAGGAAAAAAAACTTTAAAAGCTGAAGAAGATAAAGATAGTGATGAAGATATTTTGACTAAACAAACTTGTTTTTAATCGGGTGTAGTTCGTCAATCCCTGGAGGTACTACAAAGATAAATGATAGTGATAACTTGGAATTTATTCATTATATAAACCAAATAAATTCAATTTTGGAAAATGAATAATCAGAAAAGTTAAAACAAGATATACGTAACTTTTTTAATTTAGTCTTTTTTTCACACTTTTATTAGTATAATGATGTTATTTATATTTAATGTTTATATTTTAGAATTTATTAAAGAAAAATTGCCTTAACTCAAAGTAATAGTTCATACCTTCCAAAGTTCAAAACCATTTTCCTTGGTTCCTTAAAAGTTTAAGTTACTGGGATTAAACTGTATAACATTTTGCTATGGTAAATATTACAAATTACTAACTCAAAAGATAATTGTATAATTAACAAAAAATATAAATATCTTTAGAAAATTTACTGTGCAAATGCAAAACACATGCAAACCAAAGTTTTAATATTTTATATAATAAATTTTTATAAATTTGCATGCTTAAACGAGTTAATACCTGCATAGTTATGGTATTTTAAATATAATATATATTATATATTAGTATTTTTTTAACGTTAAAAAATAAAAATAAAAAGAATAAAGAAAAGCATATTTTGACTATAAAATTTATTATAAACGTTACAAAGTTCTTGTAAAACAATTAACAATCTTTTAAAAACTTCAATTCAAAACAAATGATTAAAAAAAAAAATTGAAGAAAATAAAAAAAAAATAAAAAAAGAACTTCAAATAATTAAAAAAAAGAACACTTTAATAAACTTAAACAAAGAAAAGAAGAAAAAAAGAAAATAAAAAAAAAAAAGAAAGAAAAGAAAGTAAACAAAGAAATAGGAGAGAAAAAAAAAAGAAAAAAATAAACAAACAAGAAAAGAAGAATAACAAAAATAATTTTAATGAGGATTAGAAGATTGGTTTTTATTTATTTATTACTTCTCACGTTTAAAGTTGTAATCATTATTTTTTTACTGTTAATTATTTAACTTACTAATTTTATTTTTTACATTTTTACATAAAATATTTTATAATTATTTATTTATTTGTTAATAATATTCACTTTAGTTCTAGTTAGATATGTAATATTTTTCGGTTTCATATTTCAGTTGTAATATCTCTTATTATTTAATATCATTAGATTATCTATATTAAGAATTTTTATTATATATTTTTTGATCATTAATATATTTTTATTATTATTATATTTAATTATTATATTTATATTATTTTAATTTTATCTTTTGTTTATTAATTTATCTTTGTTATTAATTAATCGTATAAATCTATATTTATTATTTAAAACTTCGATAATATATAATTAACTAACTATATTGTTTACTATTACTGATTACTGTTGGTATTTATTCACTTACTGTTGACTGTTTCATTATTTCATCTTTTCAACTTTCTATATTTTCTATTCTATAAATGGTTTTACCATTTAAATCATGAAAATTTATCAGCATTGCAAGTTTTGCAACAAAAAAATAAAAAATATTCAATCCAATCCAAGCCATCCAATGAGACAAAAGGAGCAATTTTTTTGGATTTATGCAAAATGTATTCTAATTGACAAACATACTTACAATCTGCTTTCCCATGACTCTTCTGAATGGTTTTGCACTAAATGTATATCAAACAGTATGCCATTTGGCATGCTCTCTGATCTGAAACTTAAATTAATTCTTTCCTGCAACAATCCTCTTTATAAAATAAAATCCTATGAACCCCCAGATTACCTCAAAAAACTATTTAAAAACATGAACAATGTATTTAATCTAACAACTAAATGCAAATATCTTTATAATAATGAAGAAAATAAATCTAATAACCCTTGTACAGATTATTAATCTTAATATTTATTCTCTACCATTTTACATCAATGATCTCTCCAGTCTTGTTAGTATTATTAATACTCCTCCCACGGTGATAGGAATTACTGAGTCTAATTTATTTAGAGAATTCCAATTCAACTGACCATATATTACCATACAAGGATATAACATTGAGCGTTGTCTAAAAGAATAAAAAAAAAAGGTGGTGCGGTTCTTTATTTGAATTCAAATCTTAATTATATAATTTGTGGTGATCTCCTAATTTATGCCTCCAAATATTTTTGTTGAAGTTATAAATCTACTTAAGAGTAATATCATTATTGGACGCATATAAGACATTCCTCTTTAAACACCACTGAACTTTTGCCTGTCCATTTTAATCCTCTATTTGAAAAGTTAAGTCATAAAACAAAAAATATTGCACTAATGGGAAAATTCAAGATTTATTGAATTATAGAGAATCGCAAGTTGTTTATAATTATTTTGAATCTTTGTGCCAATTTTTTTTATTTTTTTATGTTCTCATTCCCTATTTCCAACCATAATTTTCCAACACGTGTAACTGCAAAAACAAAAACCCTTATTGATAACATTTTCATGAATTCATTTCCTTCTAACATTCTCTGTCTTCACAGTCTCTGGCAGTATCTTACAATTTCTGACCACACCTCAAACATCTATAACCACATGGCACAATTTGTCTGTATTTCTAATAACCGACCTATTAGAAATTTTGAATCCGATTTATTTATCCAAGAAATTTCAAATATTAACTGGGGACTTCTCATAAAAAAAGATGATAACATAAATAAATCTATAAATTTTTTCCTGAAAACATTTGAAAGAGTATTAGACCAATAAACTCCCAACAAAAAATTAACAAAAAAACAAATCAAACTTCAACTAAACCTTTAATCTAAACTGTATAACTTCTGGTATTTTTAAATCCATTTTTAATAAAAAAATATTTTATAAAAAAATTTACTAGATCAAAAAATGTTAATACCAAAAATCTATTATTTACTAAATTTAAATTATATAGAAATAAAATAAGCAATTTGTTAAGATATTCTATAAAAACATTAATAATGTAAAGAACAATTGAAAAAGAATTAAGGAAATCATAATCAAACCTTTTAGTAATACTAAGTCTTTTAGTCTCAAAATGAATGAAAATGTCAATTTAATAATAGTAAAAAGGCAATTGCTTGGGCTATTAAATAGTGTACTGAGTACTATCTGTGCTTTGAGTCAAGTTTTTTAACAAATTTAAAAATGACAAAAGTACCAAAAACTATAAAACTC